CCTGTGAACCTGATGATGAGCGAATTGTGCCAAGTGCCACTAGCATTGGACCAACCCTTGCACATGAAACCGCCCAATAATTATGTCGAAGCGAAAACCTGGCGATGTTGTTGACATTGCCCTTACAGCTGCTTGCCTGTAGTAATACAGTTTTGTGTAGTACATCTGGTGCATATATATATATTAGATCTATACTTCGATGTCGAAAGGAGCTAGCCGAAGTCGATTCACTTCCAAAATCATCACCCTGCCCAAAGACAGAGTTTCATCTCATGTAGATTCCGGCCGGTTTTGCTGTGGGCCACTCAACAAAAGGCACGAACCAATATCATAGCCCGCCCAAGGTGTGGCCTTGCCAAAGACTGCCCCCTGGTCGTCACCTTGAAGCAAGTCAACCATGGGTTCAATCAAATTCCAATTCAGCCTTTCATACCTTCTTCAATCATCGGATTTGGCCACATCCATTCATGGATGCGGGGGCTAGCAGGGGCCATGAGCTTGCAAACTACTCCCTTATTCTGTTAATCCAAGACGCCCTGGGCCTTGACCAAACGTTTCAACCCGCCAAGCATGCACATCTTGCTGATCCTTCTAGCCTTCCATAAAATGGTCCACACTCCCAAGGGCCAGCCTAGCAAAGTTGAGGCTCGGCTGGAGGCCTGCAAACGAATCGCCAGAACTCTAGCCCGACCAGCACTTGGAGTTCGCGGCCATGACCAAAAGTTGTCATCCCACAGTCAGGGACCTTCCTGTTGTCCATCCAAAGCAAAACACCCCGGTCTCTATCTTGCAGGTATGCGTAGAAGCATGTAGAAGCTCTTCCTGACTCTGCGGCTGTGGACTATGAGCATTGAGCAGTGCAGCGAGTGAGTTGCACTATCACTACTGCAAGCACTAGCAATACGCGCGAAAGCCTACTATGGGTTATTTACGTCACCAGTAGCTGCTCCAAGCTGCATCCAGAATGACCGGCCATGCCAGGATGCCCTCTTCTTCCAGAATTGGGAAGCAAGCGCCCTCGACAAACCCTGCAGCCGCTCAGTTGCAGTTGAGGCACCGCATGCTCCTCAAGTCAGTGGTCAGAGGCCAGTGTCTTTCATTCTTCCAAAGCTGCTTGCCTCTTGGAGGCTTCTGCTCAAGATATCGTACTACCGTACGACCCAAATCAAACGAAACTGAATCCATCGGCAGAGTAGTACTTGTGAACCACTTTGTGAATGTGTCTCTATATGCATATTTATATATATACACCTTCAACACGTGTATGTTGCAAACAAATGTAATTAAATACATTGACATCAACTATCTGTTTGGGGACGGTTTTTGAACACTTTTCCAAGGTACATGCAGCTCTGCTATGCTCCGCTCCTTCCAAAAGTCCAGCTCGATGGCCTCAGCCACTTGTTCCTCTGGGCGGCCCATTCCACGACGATCTGCGACAAAAGGACCCCGACAAATGGGTCGTTCGCTTGCATCTTCTCCGGCTTAGCCGAAGTCGACGAGAAAGAACACCACCCACCCAAGCATGATGTTTCGATCGAGACTTCGGCCCAGTTTCAGTCCGGCATGCCTAGTACGTGCAGTCTGTGAGCTATCAACAGCTATCTTGCACAAGGTCATCAAGTTGTGCCTAGAACAAACAAAGAAAACGTATTTAGAGACCAAACAACATCGAAGCACTTTCATTCTGGTTAAAACCCAGGACGCCGGATGCTCACGCCAAGCCCTGCAGCCCTTTAAAGCAAAACCATCTCATGGAAAAGGGATGAAATGGGTGTCTCCTCAGCCGCTTCAAACAGATCGTCCAACACACCTCAGAGCGTTTTTGCCGGTGAAAAAGCAAATGGGAGTCTTCGCGTATGAGATTGCATGCGGTATAGATTGGTACGCATACCGTATCGATGCTGCCGGTGTATATAGCTGGTTTTGCTTTGAGCTGCCCAGAGTGCGGACTTGGAAACAGCCACACCCGTACTGTAAAAACACCTATGCACAAGCAAAACTTGCATAGGAATCATAGGAATTACATTAGCAAACATTGAGATCTCTGCACATACAAAAAAAACACAGCGCTTGGCACCCCCGCCAACTGGCTCAGTCCTGGGCGGTAGGGAGCTTGGGGAGACTTTCATGTAGTGTCTGACACACGTCCGCCAGGATGAAGCACCGTGTTCTGTTCTTCAGGCCTCTGGTCATGTCATCCTGGGGGCCAGAGTTGGCCATCGCTGAACCCATGATGCTCATACCTAGCACTTCCAATGGGCGCCCAATGGAGGCCTGGTAGGGATAGATAGGGTAGTCTATTGGACACCCAGACAGGATGACCCTGATATATATATATTATCGAGCCAGATGATGTAACATGAGTAACTAGGTAACAAAGTTGATATCTCTGGGTCAACCTTGCCCCGTATTGCCATCTCCTGTCTTCCTTGAGGGGGCGCTTCTGCCTCAGGGACCGGTCGTTCAGACCGATCTTGCAGTGGCTCTAAGTCACTTCCTCTGAAAACTTGTTGTCACTGACCAAAGTGATGGACTCAAAGTCTTCCATGGTCATGACTCATGACTGACCTAAAAGTAACTTAATGGAACAAAAACCATCGAATTAGTTGCATAGCTGGAACTGAAAGCCTTGAGCCTGGGGCGCATCTCGGTTGGCCTGCCTTGCCTTGCGCAGCCTCAGCAGACCCCGCACGCGGCAGCATCCGACGGCATCTGGGTCAGATCCTACAAAACACCATCGAACACCGCCACTGGGCCCCGAGGGGAAGGGTAGCTTAGAAGGCAGCCTATCCAGGGTGTGAAAGAGGTTGCCGCATTTCCACGGACTTTTCGGCACACTTGAGGCATACTATACCTCCCTGATGCCATCACAAGCCACAAACCCACCAAGGGGCTGAATGTGCTGCTGCTGCTGCTGCTGCTGCTGCTGCCAATGAGGATGACAAAAAACACCAACGTGATCCAACGTATGTATAATATACCTGCAATCGTCATGTAGTTGAAAATCCTTGACAACATGTTATAAACATGTTTGCAACCATCAGCACATATGCCAAGCCTATACTATAGCCAATAAGAAACCACGTGTTGACAACCCCATTCCTTCATGACTGACACCTTGCTTAGCAAGGCGACTGTTTGGGCTGTCAAACATCAAATGCACAAAACCCGCAGCCATGGCCAACATGGAGACGTTGTTTGACCCTGCTGGAGACGTTCGACAACCCCATAGCGGCTCCCACCGAGCGAAGGTTTCAGAGGCCCGAGCTGGAGCTCTGCATGCCACCTTCATGCGTGGCGATGGCTAGGGGGGAAGGACGGGGAGCAGGTCTTCCTCGCGTTGTTTCTGTCACTGCAATGTTGGAACATGTTGGAACAATCAATGAGCATGAATAAAGTGAATAAGTCACTACTCTTACTATCTCTTACTAAGGTCATTGTTCCTTCACACTGACTCCAGATCCGCTTGGATCACATGACCACTCTGACACAAGAGTTCAGAATGCATTCTGACCTAGTCTGACTATGCCTGCCACAAAATGGCCCTGGGTTCCTGGAATCTAGATGTATCTAGTGACTCTAGTGTGTGCAACGACAAGGAACACATGTTTCGTTGTGAGTTCCATACCTACGCCTGGATAGACTGACAAGCACCGTTTACGTTTGTTGAGCTCCATGTTTTCACTCTGCGCTTCGCGGATTTTCTGCACTTTCGAGTCCGTTAAATCAGCGAGTTGTGCCTGAGCAGCTGGGACTGTTTTAAACAAAGCCTGCAGCTCACTGCCCTGGCGTACAGAGGTCCCAAAACAAAAAACAACACATGTTCAAGATTCACTCTTGTCCAAAAGTCTGTTTTGATTTTACAAATACATGTTCTTCTAGGCGATCCACTTCTTTCTGTTGAGGGGCCACTGGAATTTTGTAAGTATGGATGAGCATCCTCACCAGCAGTCATCGCCGAAATCCAGCCCGTGCATCCATCGTGGAACGATACACCCCAGACTGACATGAACAAGCTCTTCATAGGGTGAGGTTTCTCGATTCCCATTGTTTCAATATCTTGCTTGCAATTCCTTGAGAACATCATGGCATGGGGTGAGCACTGGACCAGTTTGAGTGAAAAAACACAAACAGGACGTCAAATGACATCCTTCTTCCATTCACACAGGAATGTATTCGTGAAACTCTTTGACAAACTTCAGATCTTTGGACATCTGGATCGAGAGCTTCCGCACCGGCATCAACAGCCTCTGCATTTGAATGGCCCAAATCGGAGTATCCAACAGCCTGGCGGTGGGTTTTACTCGGCCCGGATCCCGGCAGCATGCCGGCAGCATGGTGTGGGCAAGAACTATGGATGTTAACATGTCAGCCTGCCATGCTGGTAGCACAAGTTACTTCAAAAGGAAGCACACAACATCCGCTCATTCTGTGCATGTAGGTTGCTACACCTATTTGCACCACCTAAAAGCTCTACTCACTAGAAAGGAACAGGAATTCGATCCATTATCCCAGCTCAATCCCAGGCACAAGAGGCTCAGCAAGCCTTCTAGAAACCTCAGCCGACAGGATGACAATCAAATTCTCAAAGATGCCTGACCACTGTTAGGCATAGTCACAAACTACTGCAAGTTATAGATAGTAAGGTGCAACTGCTATTTTTTTTCATAGTAGATGTCGCTATAGACGTGCTCCTAGTAAATCCCTAGGGTCAGTAAAGGACCTCATGAAATGCTGGAGTTGATCATATACAAACACTAATCGAATCTACTCAAATCGATCGTGTTGGGAGTTGCTGTTGGCAGCTATCCGGCGGATGGAAGGGCCGGCTGTGTTGGGTCCTTCAGTGTGGGCTGAAGATGCGTACAACCCTAACCGGCTGCATCCTAGGTTCAACATGCATATGAATCATATATATGTTACATATTAGTCATACACAGTTGAATTGCATGAATCATATTACACATGAATCATATATGATTCATTAAAAATATAGATTATATATACACAGTTTGTTCAGAACATCTACTGTCATCCATGCGTAGATTGGGATCTGGATCTTTCCTGTGCCAAAAAAGAGGACAAAAAGGCCTGGCACCCGCTCCGAGCGACTCAGCCTGAGTGAGGCTGCCCCCACCATCTACATCCAACATTTCAAAGAGGTCTTCCATGCTCTCCACGGAGACCTTGAAACCAAGCGAAGCGAGCTCAAGCGAGCTCAAGCTTAGGCGCATGCTTAAAGCCGCAAGCTTCCCCTCATGTGCTAAGCTCTAAGACGAGACGTGGCCTGTTTCAATTGCTATTATACTGTATGAATCATATAACTTGGGCCTATCCCATTGCCAGCAACAGTGGATGTTAGTATATAAAGGGCTTGTTCAAAAATAGCCACAATTGTTTGCCGACGGTGACTGGTAATTACTGCGATAGACCCTACACATAACACGAATTCAACCACTAAATATGGAACGCATTCAAGGCACGTTCTCCAAGACCTTCGGTGGAAGTACCGTCAGGGGCACATTGGTGATCTCTTGCCGTGTCAAACAGCCGCTGGAATCCACGTCAAGTGTGCAAAACACCTCCAGCAAGTCAGGCAACCTCAGGTCTGGAACTTGCACACAGTCTCAAGTAAACTACTGTAGGTACTTCCCCGGAAACTTGTGGTGAAAACAATGCTAGGAGTTCTATTCTACTCTGATTCTAATGACTTCTAATTCGCCCTCTTCCTGAACCTGAACAGCACAAATGCTTCATGTTGCAAAGGGTCGCGAGGATAGAATGGCCCGAGGTGAGGTGAGGGAGAAGAGGAGAGACGAGAGACGAGAGAGGAGAGGAGGTGAGAGAGAAAAGTACTCTGGCAAAAGGCCCCGCTTTGGCAAACGCTTTGGCCACTGCACTCGCAGACAAAACTTGCAAAACACGTTCACAAGACACTTACTTGCGATGAACACTCCTGTATGAACCTTTCGCGGGAAACTCTTGCAAGATACACCATTAAATATCCCTCTTATGAGATCCTGTTGTAAGGCATGTCTGTCAAACACATTCACACACCCAAATCAATTAGGCTGGTTATAATTCAATCTAAGGTACGTCGCCTTGATCTCTTGCTTTTTCTTGAGCCGTGCCAGTTCTGCCTCTTGTGATGCATGCTCCAACGCGTGCTCCACCTAACCATCGACGAAATCCGACCAAACAGGAAAGGCAAGAAAAAGTAACACGTGGGTATCAAGAAAGGAGGAGACCTTGACACGGGCCCTTGCCTTCCTTCTTTTCAGTTATATACTACTAGCTTCTTGCTACTAGTAGTAATGGCCTCCAACCTACTAGCGATGGCCTCCAACCTACTGGAGATGGCTTCCAACCTATTAGCTTAGCCTCCAACCTACTGGCGATGGCTTCCAACCTATTAGCAATGGCCTCACATATATATATAATATAATATATATATATATATGTATATATATACAGTACATTATTATTTTCATGTTCCAAAGCGTGCTCCATCCACCTGGGCATGACCTGCGTCCCATCAAGCACTCGTTCCCTGAGTTGTTTGTCGGCTAGCTCATTGTAATCTTCACGACTCATCAATCTCCAAAAATGACGTTCTTAAAGGACTAAGATCATCCCAGGGTATGAATGGAACTACTTAACTGCCCAACCTGCAGTTTCTCCGTGCTGGTGGCGGTTGTTCTCTACATTCTTGCTTTCATGAGATCTTCAATCAAACAAGCCACCAAAACTGCTGTGATCAAGTTCATCAACGCAATCGAAAGAAACATCAGCAGCGGGAGGAAGTAGATGATCAGGACCGGTTTTGAAACGACCAGCGGATAGTAGACGTTGGCAATGGCATCCATCGTTACAAACTGTAACAAGGTCCTCCGATGAAAAGCTGCAAAACAAGAACGAATCAGAAATCATCAGAAATCATTGGTGGCTCTTGGTTTGGGGACCTCCTTGAGCAGGCATGCCTCAAAGCAGCAAATGGAATGGCCCGGAATGGCAATCAAACTTTGCCATTTTACAACGTTCTTGAGCAATGGCTTTGACCTCAGGTGGACCGGGAAGCTATATATATTGGGTATATCCCATTCCTTGAGCGGATGATGATGGTTAGTAAAGGCCTTTCTCTGAAATGACAATTAATTGTTCACCAAGTGCTACAGGTAAGAACGGACAACCCAATTGATGTCTATGACGTACCCCCTCCCTGCTCATTTGGGACTTTGCTGCTACATTTTCCACCTGGATTGCTCAAGGGGCTGTGGTAAATTGTTTCATTGGTTTTTGGACGTCCTCACTTTTTGTCTTGCTTACTTGCTGGCTTGCTTGCCTCCCCAGCTTCTAGCCATGTGCGCATGCTCGCTCACACACATGGCCCATATGGCCAAACAGAATGGAGTCATTACAGTCATTACATGTCATGTACAACATTTTGTGGATGTGGACGGCCAGGCCTGTCTGCTTGGGCCTCAAACCCCTTTTGCACCGCAACGTTGGGGAGTCGACTTTGCCGCAGGAGCCGCCGACATAAATCGATCAAGTTTTGGGGAGAGCTGATAGAACCCGGCACGGCCATGTAGGGCCTTATTTCCAGGTCTAAGTGAGGACTCCTCTAAAGTATAAATATTTATATATGGGATATCAGTGCTATCAGTTGGGCCTATCCTATCATAACAGTGGATGATGATGGTTTGGACTAAAGGCCTTGTTCAAACATAGTGGTTAATTGTTTGCCAAGTGTTAGTTACAGGTAAGAACGGACAAACTCAAGGCATGTCAGTGATATCAGCAAATACTTTGCTGGGTTGAGACCTGAAGACTCCTATTGACATCAGGAGCAAGTGAAATCAATAGACATCGGGCCAAATCCAAATCTCAAAAAATATACGTTGAGTCTTTGGGGTCGATTGTGTCGATGAGTGTCAGGGTGGCTCGTGGAAGGCTGGAGAAGTAGTAGTCCACGATTTGCGCAGTGTCGCTGTTGCTCTGGAGATCTGTGTCCGCCGTAATCACCTCGATTGCCACGCAGCCTGAGTTGGTGACAATGAGAAAATTGGACAGCCTGTGACTGTACAGTTTCGAAACGCCATAACAATTGCATTGGAGATTGGATATTACTAGTAGCTTCTTGCTCCTAGTAGCGATGCCCTTTGTTCCTAGTAGCTTCTTGTTACTAGTAGTAAGGCCAGGAGCTTTTAGTTACGTCCTTGCTCCTAGTAGCGATGCCATTTGTTCCTAATGCTTCCCCCATCATGTCAGGGCATAAAGAACTTTCAAAAGGAGAGGCCAACTGTCACGGCTGAGCGCAGGGTTCCCCACCAACGGCAGGAGTCAGACAACACCGGATCCAAAGAAATCCGCATGACATCTGGTCCGTTAAAGCTGGGACTCCAACAGTCTTGTCATGTTGGATTCCTTTCATCCAAACATTCGCAGTTTGGGTGTATAGATGCCGTATGATGTGAAAGAACACCCAAGAAGAACAGCTTCCGTGAAGCACGGTCCAAGCAGCCGAAGATGTACCTGGCACCAACAGCTTCGCGTGGAAACGCGTGGCCTAAACGAGATGTTTCCGCGTTTAGTTCAACGTGGTTCGGGCGGCATCCGACTCACATGATGAGCACGTCTCCTGCTCTCTCCCCAAATTACACTGTGTCAAACCATGGCTGTGCCAAAGACATTGCGTGGCGTGCAATGTCATGGAACACCGTGGAACATTTGGAAGGCCGGTCCTGCCCGGCGCAAACAGCTGTGAACGTGCTGCCAGTAAGCTATCAAGTTTCCAAAAACAATGGTGGAGTAGTTGATGGGCCACTGTATTATTGTATTGGGCATGTGGGATCCCTTAAAACATGTACATGATTGCAAATGTATCATCAGCAATAATTCACCATGGCAGTGAAAATAACATAGGCACAGGATGGTTCAGGTCCGTGATGCAACAAAACAGCATCTCACGATTGAAAACATTGCCACGACTCGCCGCGACGAATTCGCCGGACGTGTTCATAATCACAGGCAGGGGTGCAGCCAAATGGAGATCAAAATGGTGGTGGACACCATAGTATCCCAGGCGGTCAGCAGTCCAGAGACCAAGCGCCAAATCACCTTGAACCGCCACACCATGCGCAAGACGCGTGCTAGGCGCAGGAGTCGGAGACCTGAACATCTCAAGTTCCAACCCACAGGTCGGGAAATGTTTGTCTTTGAACAGTCGAACTGATATGATATATATATATATAAATATCGTTTCTATATGCTCCAAATATTTTTGAATCAAATTTCAGAAATCCTGAACGTGTTTTTTTTGCCTACTTAAAAACATGGTGTACATAATGCAAAAAAAATATATATCAACCAACCCCATGCCCATCCCGCTTTGTGAAGGCCAATGTCAGTCGACCGCTCGGCGCCTCGAATGATCAAAATCTGCTCCCAACCCTTTTGAGCATTTTCCGAGCGCTCAAAGATAGGGATCACCACCAGCGCCAGCAAGCCCACAACCACCAGCACCAGGTCCAACAAGAACCTCGGGGTAAATTCCGTTCTCCAACAAGAACCTGGCCCCCTGAAGGCAGGTGAACACAACTCTGAGCATCAGTCATCTGAATAGGACCTGCACTCACACTTGGAGATCGCAGCTGCTGCTGATCTCAACTGGAAAACACAAGCACCCTTTCAATGAGAATTGTTGTTCTTTTGCTGATTCACCCAAGTCATGCACTGCGACATGATGGAGTCCAACATTCATTCGATCGATGCATTGACCACAATTTGTCACCTTGCGCCTTGCGCCATGGTTTTGTTCGGTTGGCTCACAAATGTGTGCGGCGCTACGCGAAACGCACCAAAACGCAGATGGGACACCAATTGCTGCGAAACACGGACCAGCGGCCAACCACCGCGCGCAAAAACAGTTCCACAGTGTAGATGGTGAGGAAGATTTGCTCACTGGTGGTGGCCCATGAAGTGTTATGGCCCAACAGTGACCTTGTTTCGTTGCGGGCGCGTTCACAGCGAGCAAAGGCAAACGCAGCAAAACAACTAAAAAAAATGTTGTTCCGAAAATCGTTGTATTATACATATGTATACAAACAAAAACCATGTAGGAATACACGGAAATGCCCACAACATGTTTTGGACTTCCCAAGCGACATCTCAGCTTCCACACCAATCAAGGCAATATTTGCCGCAATGATGAGGCCGGTGCAAAACTCAAAAAGCCTGGAGTCCACTATCTTCTCCTTAGGTTCACTTGAGTATTGATTCTGTTGTTTTTGTTCCGTCCCGCTTGCCATGCATCACTCCATATTCACCATGGCACAGCTATCAACTCCAGCTGCTGGTGTTGCACTGAAAGAAACGTCTGGTTGAAAGTAGTTCACATGTTCACGATGTTATAAAGTGATGCGCAATTGTCAAACCGACCTTGTAGAAAGCCTTGATGTGCCTACCCGTGCAAGTCGGACAAAATATGTAAAGACATTAATTGCACCGGCACAGACCCCAAAATAGCAAATGACTCTCAAAACGGAAGCACGTCTGAAACAGCACAGGTAGCGCTGGTTTCCTCTCTTGGGCAAAACAGTTCCACCCTATGGTTCTAGGGATTCCTCTGTACTGACCTCCAAGTCATAAATTGGACACTTTGCACATGCATCTTTTCAATCATGTGGTACACATGAATATGTTATAATTTACGATCCCTCCGTGACCTAAGCTGTTTCAGCTTTGGCCAACCTGTGGATTCTTAAATTCTACCAATCATAGCAGCTATGCTGGCTCAACCAAGCTAGAAGCCTCTCTTCAGTCCATGTCCTCAGCTGAAGGCCTAGCACGAGACCGCTGAAGACTCTCATGAGCTGCCGCAGCTGGTTGCCGCTGCCAATGTTCCAAACTATGTCAGCCTTGTCTCCGGTGACATAAAACCTAAGATCTCGACACATACGGGCCAAGATCGTTTTGGGAAGTGCATTGGGAACATTTCTTCTATATATATATATATAAGTTCTCTCCTTGTGGAAGACCTTGGAAGTCTATCATGCTGTTCGCATGACCCAGGCTGCGGACTCTCACGCGCGCGATTCCATCTGGAAGCTGCTAGGCCAGGCCTAGTCTCCATTCCCAATCTGGCTTCTTCTGTCTGGCATTCTTGTGACACCATAGTCGGCCTCACACTCCCCACACTCCATCGTCCCAAAACAAAGCTCAGGACACGGAGCAATCTCCTCAGCGTGACCACTGCTATGTCAAAGCCCTCAAGACTGCCATCCGGTTGCGCTCGAACAGGCGCAACCAGGGTAGCCATCAGTGCTGGTACAACCACTGGCCAGTCAGAGCCTTGTCTAGGCACCTCGTTCCCACATGGCCGCTTGCAGCCACAGCCCCCTCATGGCAAGATGCTTGACCTTGCTTGCCTCAACCTTGTCTCTGACAAATACCTCTTGCTGCAGAGTCTGAGAGAAGAACCAATTCAACCTTTACCATCGTGAACTCAAGGCGCTGGTTCATCTGAAGCCCTTGCGCCCCTCCACGGACTAAGGAGTAGACTGAGTAGACTTCGCTTTCACCTGAAGACAGTGCTGCCACACTTTGATTGGCGCAACTAGTCCCTAGAACATGGTTCCCAAGTCTCACCGCCAGTGAGCTCATAGATCTCCTACTCTCCCTGCACGCTGCATCACATTGCCCAATCGCGCCGACGTGCACCCCAAGCATCTTAAGCCATCCGTCAAGCCGCCCGTGGCCGTTCTTGGCCGGCCGACCTTCTCACTTTCACACCACTTTCCAGGACCCGCGCATGTCCTTCATCAAGCGCTCTACGTGGGGTCTACTTCGCATGTGAACCTGGCAGGGCTGCACGAAATCTTTCTATGCAAGTGCTCAGCACTGTCTACTTCACCGCCAAAAGCCTTTGGTCCAATAACTCTCTGACATCATGCGGTCCACTTTGTCTAAGTCAGCAGAACGTCCTACTGCCAGAAAAGCATCTCCATGAACAGTCATGACCACTTCCCACTCTTTGTCGAAGTAAACATTGGCAAGAACTGGTCGTTCATCAAAACCGTGCTTCTTCTTTGTGTTCCTCATCTAGTTTCCCCAGCAATTTGATGCCTCTCTTGTCCTATTCATGGCTTTGTTCAACTTCCAGATGACATCATCGAGGTATGTATGACTCCAATGCCACCTGAAGACTGTTCTGTGGCTCCAACAAAAACATCTGAAACAAGATGCAGTGTCACAAGCTCACCTCTTCCAACATGTCCACGAAAGGTTTCGAAGACTGAACCCATTGGCTGGTCACTCATCCGGACCACTTCCTGAATGTCCGAACTCTTTCGCTTTGTTCCGGCTGAAGACGAAGAACCTCGAATTGGCTCTGCTTCCATGTGGCTTCCTGGTTCGGCAGGCGTCGCAGGTGCCCGAGCTGCCTCCTTCAAGACACCGGGACACTGACCTTCTCAATCAGCTTACGAAAACGCTTCTTGTGTGCTTCACTATGAGGTTTGTTGTGCACACCATACTTCCATACTTCAGTTGCCTCTCAACAGTGATGTAAACAGACTTCTTTGAAGAAACTTCTGGGCTACTCATCCGGGGCTCCTTGCGCTCTGAAACACCTTCACGGGCTGGAACTGAGCCAGGAGTCAAAACAGGTTGCCTTCGTGGCTGCCATGGAGTGCCTACACTTTGCTCAACCCATCTTACATCAGATTGCCTTTTGTTGTCGGGCCGCCGGAAAATCGTCCGACGCTTTCGAACACCTTGGTGAGTTCCAATGATGTGGCCATCGCTGGACAAGGTCTTGCCTAACATCAGGCCAGGTTGAGGGAGTCTTGCCATCCTCCTTCACAGTGAACCTGGCCAACAACCATGAAGCATGTTTCACCAACCAGCCAACTTGTGGCCGTAGGTCATCGTCAAAGCGGGGCACACTGTCAAGAAGTGGTGCCTCAAACAACGAACCTGCCGCGCTGCCTGAAAAATTGCTCGCTCAACAACACCATTGGACTAATGACTGCCTTTGGGGATAGTCCTCAATCCTGCTCCTGCAGACCATTCACACAAAGCACCACTCTGAAGGATGATCCTACCATGTCCGAGAAACTTCAATGCTTCAATGATCTTCAATGCAAAATGCTACAGCATAAGGTTCAGGACCAACTGGCGTTGCAAAAGCACATCCTGTTTGAACATCCACAAGAACAGTAGGTTGCGCTCTGTCTGCTTCCCCCCCGTTCGTTGATGGTCTCTGGGACCTTGCACAAAACTGATTTGAGGAAACAATGTCTAGATCAATTCTCGAGACTTCATCTAGCTTTCTTTTCTGATGCCAATCTTCTGTGGCCTTTCCTGCGATGCAGCTAGGACACCATGACCTGAAAGGAACGTGGGTGAGCTCGCGCTCATCCATCTCATCTTTGGACACTGTAGGTGGGTCACGTTTGCGTCTAGGATTTCTGATGCCTCCCTCTGGCTGAGGATCTTCCTCCGCAACCTCAAGAGGGTGCGGGACCTCCAGCGAACCCCGACCGGCACTCCCACTGCCTGCTTGGTCGCCTGAAGCACCTGATTCTGGTGGTACTTCTTCATCTTGGAACAACTCCGCTGCGCTGGAACCGTGGACCCTGCGCGCTGCGGCCACTAGGCTGTTGGGCGTTGGGCTCAACCTCTTCGAACGATCAAGCTCCCACCAATAAACTCCGTCCTTTTTCAATGGGATTTTTATTCTGACATGACTTCAGTGTCTCTTTGAGCTTCTCTCCATTTGATCCATGGATGTGATAGATTGGAAACTCGATGTCCTCGACGTAGTCCTTTGAAGGCACAACCATGATTTCTTCCTGGCTCTAGCTTCTCACCCGTGACTGTCGACAACAAAACAGCTACCACTGCCATCCACTGCATGTTCATCAAATCCTTCGGGAAACGCACGGGAACCACAACCAGTATCAAACAGCATCGATTTGTTCTCCCCCTAAATGCTTGCCACAAGCATTTGAGGCAGAGCACAAACATACTCATCATCTCATAGACTCCACCAGCCGGCTTGCTCTTGGCCTTCCCTGCAGGTTGGCCTGCGCTGGATGAAGAGGATGTGCCTGAAGTCGCGGCCGCGGTACCGCCCACAGGCCTACCTTCTGCCTTCTTCAAATCAGCTAATCCCTTCCTGCAATCAGCCTTGACACGCCCATACTTCTTGCAGGGGAAACACTCTTTGTCTTTGTTGGCATTCTTGTCAGTTTGGGTGCCCGCGCCTTTGCCCTTGCCACCGCTGGTGTCTTTGGTCTTACCCTTTCCTTTGTCCTTCTTTCCTTTTCCTTTGGGAAGTCCACCTACCTCCATGGGTTGAGGATTGTCTTGAAGGGACTTTTGAACGCAAACAAAAGCTCTTGCCTCAACCAATCTCTAGGTAGTCAAAAACGCTGCGTGACGAATCCGGTGTTCCTTCAATGAATTGTCCTTCATGTTCTTGGTGATCACACCCAACTTGAGGTCATCTTCAACCACCTTACCCGTCTGACTGCGTCTCATACTCCCTGATGAGTTTCTCAAAAGCAGCAACCCCTGAAGCTACGTTTGAAATTGTCCCCAAAGTCGAAGGCAAGGATTTGCATGAGTATATTGACACGTATCTCGATTGCAGCTTTGGACAGAACTCCTTGCACAAAGAGTTCCACGCCATGAAGCCCTCACCATTACCACAATTCACAGCCAGATCTAAAGCTCTCTCCTTACAGATCACCAGAGTGTAGTATAGTTGCGTTGAAAGGGCCGTCTGACTTGGCGTCAGTCTCAGCTTCCTGAACACCCACTCCTGTCTCCACCTTCTCCAGCATCTCTGGAAAGCGATGATCTACAGCACCAAGATATGCACCAACCACCACGGACCAATCTCTAAACTTGGACCCAACACCACTGAACGCGTCAGGTTTCCCCAAAGTATGCGTATCAACCAATAGCCAATAGCATCAAGGTTGCATGAACAGGAGACGTAGGTGGACTAGGTTGAGCTGCCTGTGGACTACCATCTGGAACCGGTTGTTGACTCTAGCCACCTGCATGAACTCTGTAATCTGTGCTTGCTGCTGTTGGACTGAACTCTGCAGTCCTTTTGTCACCGAGGTTGCTCCAGCCAGCTCTGTACGTAGTTCACTGACCAGATCTTCCAAGGACATGTTTGGCAAAGATTTCACCAATCACTCGATCTTCCTCGTCAATCTCTTCCGCCGCTGGGGCAGTGCTGTCGGCCTCGTAGGCCTGCAATTGCACCTGCTTGGAGGGGAACCCTTTCTTGGCAAACTTCTGAGCTTCTGCGCTAGGATTGGACGTCGTTCAGCACACCTTGAACAAGTAGCGCCCAACTCCTTGAGGATCTCCTGACCAACTGAGCCCTTAGGCAGGAACTTGCGCACCTGCTCTCTCAGCTGAACACGCTCTCAAAACCTCGCTGTCTTCCGTAGCCAGATCAAAGTGGTGGTCAAATTGATCAGCTTCTCACTCCTCTCTAAAGCCCCTGCAGTCAATCGAACGTAGGGGTCTCAGACTTGGCATTCCTGGGACCCTTCCTTGCTTCTTCTCAGGCTCTGACTTCCAAACCACCTGGCTCCTGAACTCCCTCAGGAACTACTGCAGGTTCTTCAAAGACGTGCTCCTTCTTTGGTGGTCCTCTGAAGGAATACCCAAGTGTTCTCCAGAAAGAGTTCGATGTGAAAAAGTTTTCACAACCTCCTTCTTGTCCTCACAGGAGCTTCTGAAGCGGAGCTTCTGAAGCGGGGCCAACCGCACTCAGACTGTCGTCTGCACGCTCTGCTTCCTCAACTCTTCGCCAGTAGCTCTCGTCCAACTCCTTGTCGTAGCGCTCTTGGCGCCTCTTGCGCCCTCACTATACGCTCAAACAACTGTTTGTCTTTCGACTTTCGACTTGATTCCACATAGGAATCTTGCCTTTCTCATACGCAGAGCCCAATCAAGGGCAACAGGACAGGTAGCGCCGGTTTTCTCTCTTGAGCCATGTATCACAGCGCAAAGCAGTTCAACCCTATGCTATAGCTTTCAGCCATCTGGGAAGAAAAACTAACAACCTCAATTGACCTCAATGTATACAAGTATGCCCTCTCTCCAACGTTCCATGAACACTCTGTATTTATCTGTAAGGGGGAATGATCATGACTGTTCTCTTGCATATAACTCTGGGTCGGACGTGCTCATGGCGTTGGCGAGAGGTCCACAGTGAGACTGATCCACAGCGGAGCCTCTAAGCCCCTCCGCTTTGCTTCCCACCATGAGGTTTGCACGTAGACTGAAGTGGCGGTGTCGAACAAGACCTCGACCGGGCCACCGCGCAAATGCCGAACATCCACCGCACTTTGGATTTACACATCCAAATCCGACCCCCCAAAAAAGAATACATATATATATATATATGTGCTAGCCCCCCCAAACCCAGAATATATATATATATATATGCTAGCCCCCCCAAACCCACCTGCTTTTAAATTATCTCGCCTACGAAAATACCAAAATACAAAAACTGCAGACCCATGACTTGGGGAACCAAGGTACCAAAACTGCAGACCCCATGACGTGGGGAACCAAAGTACCAAAGTACCAAAACTGCAAACCCCATGACCTTACCTCAACCACTCTGAGGACATAGGTCTGTGCAGTTTTGGTACTTTGGTACTTTGGTTTTCCAGGTCATGGGGTCTGCAGTTTTGGTACTTTGTTACTTTTGCACTTTGGTTCGCCAGGTCATGGGGTCTGCAATTTTGGTACTTTAGTACTTTCGTACTTTGGTTCCCCAGGTCATGGGGTCTGCAGTTTTGATACTTTGGTACTTTGGTTCCCCCGGTCGTGGGGTCTGCTGAGTTTGCTACTTTGGTACTTTGGTTTTGCAGGTGATGAGGTCTACAGTAGTTTGGTTCTTTCTCGAAAATCAAAATACAAAAAACAAACAAACTGCACAAACCCCAAGGCCTGACCTCAGCCACTCTGGGGGCATAGATCTGTGCAGTTTTGGTACTTTGGTACGTTGGTTTTCCCTCTAAAACCAAAATACAAAAATATCAAAGCTGCAGTGCCCTGGCCTGAGCCACTTTGGAGACATAGGGCTGTGCAGTTTTGGTAACGCGCAATACCGCAAAATAACAACTGCAGAGCCCATAAATATGTGCCGTTGTTTTGCTATTGGATTGCAATTGGATTGCGTTTATTTTTGTTTAATCAAGAACGCTTAAAATGAAGCTAGTCTGTTTTCAGAAAACATTAAATTGTAGTTGTTTTTAACGGTTGCAAAAATAATCGTAATGAACTGCGTCTTTTTTAGTTTGCTCATAGTTTGTTCTAATTTGGCCTCAGAAGGTTTAATATATGTTTACTTCAATTTTATTTTTGCTTGAGTTATTTACACTGCTTGAGAAGTAGAACCTAATCTAACTTCGGATCAGGTGGTTTTATACATTCGAGTTTGTTTGCTTCTAGAGAGTGCGTGTTTGCTTTAAAAGGAACGCTTTGTATATAGTTTATGTTTTGCTTTATTCAAGGTTGTTTTCTTAAAGTCAGACCCCCAGCAAAACCCTCTCTCTAGAATAAGGTCAGAATTACATGAGAATTCAATTTGCTTTGAATTAGAACTAACTTTGCATTGAACAAGAAACGAATTAAAATATATATGAATCAACCAAAATTAAAGTGGAAATGAAAATAGAATTAAACTAGAATTGCAAACAACTGAAATTGAATGATTGTAAGAGATTTAAACGAACTGAAACTGAAACTTAAATACAAAAATGTTTTGACATATGTATGAACTAAATTGAATTTGACAAACAATTGTAGATATGAGTTGGAATTAAACTAAGATTGAGTCAACATTTCATTGCTCCAAGTAGAATTGGAAAAGAATTAAGATAGAATTGAAATAGAATTGTTTAACCTGCAGCTCGGATAGAAATCAATTATTGTAATAATGATGAATAAGAATTAGTCTTGAATGAGAATTAAAAAACTAAGTTACATTTACAATGAAACTAAATTAGAATTGAACGCAAATTCAATTAGAATCAAAAAGCAGATTGCAACTAAACTTACTTGAGCAATCAATAGATTCAATATTGAACTCAATCAGGTTCAAATTCGAATTTACAATTCTAAATTTAGAATTAAGTTAGACTTAAATAGACAATAGTTAGACTTCAAATTCTAAATTTACAATTAAATTACCATCGAAAAGTCGATTGTTATCAAAAACAGTTCAATTTAGGTTAAAAAACATAATGTATAACATTAAAATTGGAGTTGAATTAGATCGAAACTTGAAGCCGATTGGAAATACAACAAACTTGAATATTCCAATGAAAATTTAACTATACTTCAATTCAAATCTAAATTCAACTTCAAAAAACACATGTTGCGCAAAAGCCTAAAGGACCAAAGCACAAACAAAACAAAACAACTTTGAGGAGAATGTTTGGTTCAGCCTCAAAAGATGTTTTTGGTGTTCATTGTGTTTTTGTTTTTTGACGGTTTATTGTAACCCTTTTTGTTTTTTGATTGTCTTCTTTAACCATAAGCCGTGTAAGAAAATACATAAGTCTTTTTGTGCCTTTTGGTTTCAAAGCCACAAAAGAACACAATGAAAACACAAAAACCATCTTTTACGGCTGGGCCAAACATTCTCTTCATTTTTTGTGGTGGTTTGTCATTTTGTTGCTGTTGTCTATGTTTATTTGCTTTGGTTATTGAATTGTGCAATGCATTGTATGTTTTACAATGTTTATACTTAAATGGGCATAAAACAATGTACATACCAATAAGTTTGATGAAAGGGTGGGTTTGCGGGGGGGGGTTACAATATATATATATATATATAATCCCGGCAAGAGACCCCAAAAAGTGTGCGTGAGGTGCAGAAAGTCTAGAGTCTAGAGATCTAGACGCATTGGGTCCAGAGAGGTGATGGTGGTGATGAAGGTGGAGATGAGAGTGTGAGTGTGGGTGAGTGTGAGAGTATGTGTGAGTGAGAGTGAGGGAGGGAGGGAGGGAGGGAGGGAGGGAGGGAGGGAGGAGGAGCGAGAGCGTGAGGGTGAGTGTGAGAGTGAGTTGAGAAGAGAGAGAGAGAGTGAGAGAGAGAGAGTGAGTGAGTGAGTGAGTCAGTGAGAGTGGGTGAGGGCATGGGTGAGAGTGAGTCAGAAATTGAGAGTTAGAGTATAGGGTGAGACTGAGCGTGAGCGTGAGTGTGAGTGAGAGCGAGGGTGAGAGAGTGAGAGTGAGCATCTCAGAGCACAAAGTGCTGCGCCTGCCACGAAAGCTGCACTTCGAGGTTCACAAAGTGCGGTGCCTGCCACGAAATCCGCACTTCGAGGTTCACAGAGTGCTGTGCCTGCCACGAAATCTGCAGTTTGAGGTTCACAAAGTGCTTGTGCTTGCCACGAAATCCGCTCGAGGTTTTAAAGTGCTGCGCCAGCCACGAAATCTGCATTTCGAGGTTCACAAAGTCCTACGCCTGCCTTGAAATCTGCACTTCGAGGTTTGCAAGGTGCTGTGCCTGCACTTCAAGGTCCACAAAGTACTGCACCTGCCACGATTTCTGAAAACCTGCCACATGTAGAAAAGTCACGATTCACTGCACCTGTCGGTCGAAATGCACTTCGAGGATTTCGAGAGGCACGAATGTACTGTAAATAGCAACGAACTAGCCGCACACGTCGGTGCAACACCTCTAATCTAACACCGCTGCTTAACCATTACCGTAAGACCCCTAGTGTGTCCACACTGTTTGGGATATATATATATATATATATAATCCATTATAATCCTGGACCATGAAACAATGTTTGTCCATCTCGCCAGAAAACATGAAACAGAAAAATGCAGCAAGTTCGCGACAGAAAACATGACGCCAAAATGACACAGAAGTGACAAAAATCAACGCAAAAGTATGACAAAAATTGACACCAAATCTGCTTGTTGCGTTGGTGTTTTAAGCTTTGCCTTAAATTGTCCTGACCGGAAAACATGTCTTTTGCGGGGTCTCGGATATTCTCGGATTATATATATGTAATATCTACACGTCACATGACGCTGAGCAAAACGCTGTCCCACCTCTTCCAGCAGCTTGGGCATCCGACCCCGCATCGACTTCCGGAGGGTCTGCAGCCGCATCCGCGATGGCGAGTCCCTGCTCCGCACACTCTGCGCCCGGGACGCGCCGCGTGGCGACTCCGCGAGTGCGGGGGGTTCGGCGGCGCGAGACGTCTCCGACGTCTGCTCCAAAGCTTCGGGCTCCGGAGCTTCGGGCTCCGGAGATTCGGGCTCCGGAGCTTCGGGCTCGACGGCCAGGCGGATGGGCAAGGCGCCCGGTGGGGAGTTCACTTGAGTGAGCAGCTCCTGGGAAAATGTGGAACCGAGATGAGCCAAGGGCAAAGTCAGGGCAGGTTGTGGTCAGTGGCATAGGCAATATATGGCAGTATGATAATTTATGATCTAGTACAATGTGCTTGGTATTGAATGCATCTAGGATTGCCCAATCATCATTGGCATCGGGTGGTTGCTTGCTTCGGTAGCTTCTGCGTCTAAGCTGTCGAGTTGCCCGGCCGAAAAGAAAGCCACAATCAAGGTTCATGGAAAATAAGCTTGCTCAATCTCTCCTTTTACCCTCCTACATCCTCGGCTTGCCATCCTCGGAATAACAACATCAACATCTGCACATGTTCTCAGTAAGAGCTCAGTTAGTGATAAGTTCTCGTCCCCATCACCCCCAAAAAAAGAAAATCTAAACTGCGCTGCCGTACATCGTCTTCATGTCCTCCACCGCAGATTGCCACAGCCGGTGTTGATCCTTCAAGGCCTCCATGGATGTGAAGGAGGCCTGCTGCTGTCGCAGGACCTGCTCCAGGGCCTCAAAGAGTGCGCCATGCTAAAAGGGTGACGGAGTGTTCCTTTTGGGGGGTCGTGTGAGCCACACAGGAGGAATAAAAGACAGAAAGCCCCAAATGTATTGAAACAGTCGAGAAGATCGGATTGAAGTTCCCCCACTGCTTTAAGCCATGAAAATAGGAAGCAAAGCTACCAGGGAATTCCAGGCCAGGCAAGAAGCAGTCTGAACACTTAGGCCCTCAGTGTCCACTTGTTCGGGATCTATGCTGTTTTGGATTGTTTTCCGAGTGTACGTTCGGTGCAGTGATATGAGTATCAAAAAATGGCCCCACAAAATCAAGCTGCCCATCCGCAAATGTCTCCACTGATAAGAGTTCAAGCTGAGAAGTTTACACACACACACACAAGTAAGCACAAAAACAACAACAGGAGGTGTCTTTATTCGATTGTTTTATAGTTCATTTCAGTTCGTCTGCTAAGGTTCCTTTTTTGGTCCCTGGCTTTGCTCTACAAATGTTCAGCCTGTGGCCGGCTGTGAACAGCAACAGCTTCTCTCCTGGTTTGCTACTCATGTGTAGCAGAACATCCAGCAGCACATGCCATTGTGGTCTCCAACAAGTGGAGCTCCCCAAATCCCCATTGTTTCTTTTTGGTGGCGTCCTATCCGAACGGCTGCACCCTTCACATCCCTTCGCCGGTCTGCAGCAAGCCACCCCTTGCACGGCATCTGTCATCCTTTGCTTGCTGCGGAAGGGTCCAGTTTGGGCCGAAACTTCTGCAAGGTGTCGAGTGTTGGGATAGTGTCAGGCAGTGTCGGGTAAGCCAAGATGGGCAAACGGCGGCATGGAACAAGAAATAGCCGAGGATTCTGGCCGCATAATGCACTTTCTATACCCGTGACTTGATTATCTTGATGAGCGAAATTCTTCATAAGTCTGCACGGAATGAGTCAAAAGGTGCTCACAGCCTCTCTTCTTCCTGCTCTTGCTCCTTCAGTTCCTCCTCTCACACCGAAAGAACATGTTTCCGCTATCCCTACAATTCGATAAACGACGCTGTCATCACCCATGTTTGTCAAATAAAAGCAGCAACATGTTTTACGCTTCTTTACGCATGACTTTACCACATCGGAGTAAACATGATGTTCTGGAGTCTTGAGGTATCTTGGGGTCTTTCCAGGTCCTGCTTCTGTCTCTTCCGTCCTTGGTTTGACATAGCCGTAAGGCTAACAAACTGCCCACATTGACATCTGGTTCTTCCAAGCGTTGTGACATCCATTCAAATGCCTAGAGTCTACCGCATGTTCCTCCATAAAGAAAAACCAAACCATGTCTCTTTACCGAATCGTCCCCCACAGCGGCCACACTGCCAACTGGACACACACACACAACTGCTGATCTGTCTCATATCTCTGTCCCCCTTTTCACACAAACGGCTCCAGTCACAGTTTGGGGGCGAGTGTCTCTGGGCCATCGCCTCCAGCATGGGCATGATCTCATGGTTCACCTCCGAGAGCGCTGGATCTCCGTGAGCGTTCGGACGTACTTGGCAGTGGCTGGGTTCGTGGAGCTGTCGTGGAAACAAAAAAGGCTTGATGTGCTCATGTACCAAAGGAAGATGATCATTTTGGAACTCATGATTCGGATCATGTTGGAATATCTTGGAACATCAAGTCCAGGCAGTTTAGGATCATATTGGAACACGAAATCACCCACGATAAACAAGCTGTGACAGGGGTGCTGCTCTGAAAAGTCAGCTTTCGTGGCAGGCAGGAAATGAGGGGTTGGGCGCTGCGCCCCCAAAGAGCACACAGACCTTGAAACACACAGGGGGAACGAACTGCTTTCGGCTCGTTGGAATTGCTCCTTCGCACCCCAAATTTGACCCTGGCTTCTCCAAAATTTACCCTTGGGTTTGGCAATCCTTCTCGAGGCTTTCTCAGGATTTCAATTTTGCGGCCCACATCTCACATGCGCCTATAACAAGATTAACAAGCTGGCTCATGGGCCGACATGCTGAAATGGTGACAGCCTTAGATCTGTCCTCCAGGGACATGCAGCACTCGTATAGAAACCGCACAGAACGAGGAACAAAGCAGAACCAACGACGGACGCAAAACACCACTCGGAAGACCACGAGAGAAAAATAAACGACACAAAACAAAAGCAAACAACATAGAAACCGCACATCAGAAGAACACAGATTGAAAACATACACCACTCAGACTACCACGAGTGCAACGAGGGAAAAGGCAACAACACAAGCAAGAACAAACAGCATAACAGCCGCACATCAAAAGAAAACAAACACACTGAACAAATAAACACTATATACTCAGACTGCCACGAGAGAAACACTAACAACACAACCAATACTAGAAACAAAAAGAACAAAGAAACCGCACATTACAGTAGAAGAACAACCACAGGATAAAAAGTCAAAGAAAAAACAACACAACATATATACGATCAAGACTATAGGAATGAAAACTACACATCACCAGAAAAGGACAAGGACATGGTATATGAGACACACGTTCAAAACGAACCTGGTCCCCTCATGCACATCCAGTATTTGAGCTTGAAACATAGATATGCAGCTGCACCCATTCCATTTGATAGCCGGTTTCAAAAGTATTTGAAGGCTAAATTGACGCGATACCCTAGTATAGCAACTGTAGCAGCAATGTTAGTAGGTGGATCATGCAACTCATGATCTCCAAATCTGATGCCAGAGTCGTTGTTGAATCAACATGAACCAAATTCACTGCCAAATTGTGAGCATAGCCTTGTTGACTCCTGAAAGGAGCCGAAGCCCATTTCCAAAGCATCTTGGAAAACTCCCCAAAGCACTATCACCCACTGCACCAGCGCTTTGTTTTCCGTCCTTTCCGCCCACGTGTGGGCGATCAAGGCTCTTGGGATCAATAAGTGAGTGCCGGTGTCGCACCCGCGGAATCCAAGGCCCTTCGGTAGATGGAATCCTGAGTCTCCAACACCTGACAAATGTCCATGCAAACGAGCACGATCAACGTGGTTTCTGCCAGGGCTGCACCAGAGTTGTCAACATGCTACATGTGAGTCTTGCAAGAGTTGGCACAGCCCCTTCTCCACCTGTAGCTCCATATCGATGAGCGCGCTAATGTGAGTCAGGTCGGCCTGAACACTCCGTCGGCCGGACACGTCAAGCCAGCGGATGGGACCATCCGCCATCGGAGGTCTGGAGCCTCACCATGTGGACCTGTTAATTTAAACCAAAAAATGCAATATTCTTTTGAGTGATGGCCTGCAACCCCGCTACTAGTGATGGCCACCAACCTAGAAACAAATGACCTCCAGCCTAGTAGCGATGGCCTCCAACCTAATAGCTACAGCATCTATATATTTTACAAAACAACAACCTCAAAACTCTGGGTCTGGGTGTATATGCTGCACGCATGCTTGGTTTAGAGGATATTGCAATGGATATGCAACTTGTAGCCTTCCGGCTAAAACAAAAGACGAAAAAAAAAAGGAATCCATCAATGTCGAGTAGCTCCACTGCCCAACAGAATGCAGCTGAATTTCAGCAAATTGGTCGTTCTGGGGATTCTCAAATCACAGTGAAACACATTTGCACAACAGCACCCGAGCTCTCACTATTACACAGTAACATTTTGACACCCTGCCTTGTGTCCCCGGCACCGTTGTTCTCAAACAGTGTACCGGGACCATAGTTCGACTGGAAAGGACCGTCACCCTGCCTCAAACTTCAAACCCTCATCTGTGCAACTTGAGACCTCAAAGATACCCCCAGACAAAATCCTCCACTCCTCCACCTCCAAAACACCTGCCTCAACTCCTCCACCTCCAAACACCCTCCTCCCTTCCCCCGGCCGCGACCGACCGCGACTGCCACGACTGGCCTCGCCGGATCGGGTGGTGGCATCCACTAAAGGCTTCGATCGGCCCAGTAGGCTCTTGGCCACTTGCCGCCGGCGTGCGGCGTCCTGCAACTGATGAGTAGCGTACGGTTCCGTAGAGAGTGTAAGGACACAGCGTACGGAAGTATGCACTGGCCTTCGATTCGAAAGGCCCGTAGAAGTAAACAGAGTGCCAGGACGCATGGTTTTCCCCCCACCCACTAAACTTTGGGCGACGATCGGTTTAGGGATTTATATTTAGTACGGTTTGCGCTTTGCATTGCTGAGAACTTGATCATTGTTGAACGTAAGTATAGGCATACCCGTAAATGTTTATGGAGCGAAACGTTCCTTAATCTAAAATACCGGTACCGCTGTCATCCAATCACCAAAACCGATGGAAAAAATCAAGTGCCAAAAGTCCCTTTCGGAGTGTGATTTGCAGGGATTTTGCTGCCTCCTCAAAGTGCTCGGGGGCAAACCATGAGTTCTGGGCATACACATGCTGTGGTCTGTTTGATGTTGAAAGGTGGTTCCAGATTTCAGCCTTCGGCAAATTGTTTTTTTGGGCTGCTGTGGCCTCGCGCAAGCACGGGATTCAAACATAATCGAATGGAAAGGCTGGATATCTCAATGCTTTCTCGAAATCACTGGACTAAATATATGGGTATACGGTATCACACAGAGGCTCATCTAGCCTGAGCCGGGTGTCCTCCAAATAGCAAGTGGGTGTCCAAATTTCTACCCGTCCGGTAAACTCCAAAGCACAAGCTGGCAGCTTTTTCCGCGGACTCGCAGCATTTGCTGCAATTTGCAAACAATCAGCACTTGCACGCATCACGTGGCATTCCATTCAAAACCATGATGATAGCAAATAGCACCAAGTTCACATACCAGGCTCCATGCACACATTGCAACCAAGCCAGCAGGTCAAAATGTTGAATCTTTGCTTATGTAATGTTTCACTTTGATCGTCCATGTGACGCGATATTGTCCCCCAGCTACCACATCGCTTCAACAAGCCGCGGCTCTAAGAATCACGAAGCTTCAAGGCAACGTTCAACGGACGCGACCGTTTTACTCGAACAACTCTCACCTCGTCCTAAAGCCCCTCCAGAAGCTTAAAGCTTCAAGAAGCACACGCCACAAACTCAAACAGGTTGTGGCTGCCAGTAAACTGGCACACCGGCTGCCAGCTGGCAGTCAAATAGCCTACCAAGGTTAAGCGCACCCAGCTCAAAGCCCCGGCCCTTCTGCTTTGGTCTTTGTTGGAAACTGAGGTGTCCTTACTGAACGAACACAATTTAACAGTAAAACCGTGACAAGTCCTTTATGCCAAACAGGTTTTTGCAACACATAATTACTCCAAGTGCAAAGCGGTTGGACTCTAGGTATACCAAGCGTTCGGGGTTTTCCTGGCCAAATGGATTTGGCTGGTCAAATTGCGACGGGTTCCTTTTGTAAAACAATCACATTTTTGGTGGCCAAATCCATTGGACTGGCCCCAGAAAAGCGATTGGTTTTTCAAAAAACACATCACAATTCCATAGGCTTTGGAAAAACCCATCACAATTTGAAGTTCGGAGTGGGCTGGAAAGTCTGACGGGTTTCCATTTTCCTTACTTAGTTGCGACGGGTTTTTTAAAAAACATCACATTTCACATTTTAGGGTTGGGGCCCGCGTCTGAAACGTGACGGGTTTTCCTGGCCAAATCAATTTGGCTGGTAAAGTTGTGACGGGTTTTCCGTCTCCAACTCATTCATTCCTGCAAGGCCCCATTGATCGAGCTTGGCCGGGCGCAAGGCACTGAAGCTTCGGGCGCACATTGCACCTACAAGCTTCAGGTGTTTGCATCCAACTGCTCCAAGCATAATCTTCCAACCCGAGATCGTTGAGCCTCCGCTCCTGAGCACCAATACAAAAAATATCAAACCGAGAAAGTTTCACACGTCCAAGCTGGGCATATTGAGCAATCAGCATATAAGCACAGTGGTTGGTGCTTCCAGCTGGCTCAGGCAACCCTCGGGGCCGCACAGACCTACATCAACACATTGACTCCGCAGAGGGTCGAGAAAGATCTGGCAAATAGTGTGAAGTACGAGTTGGACCTATTGAAGTTGCAACGCCCCGGTCAAAGTCAAGCCTTTCTTTTTGCAGACAGGTCCACGTTCTCCATCCAATCTTAAAGCGAAAGCTCTATCAAAATGCGGCGCAAAACTTTTGAAATAGTGGTGCTTGGCTGTGGCGCCAGAAGCGGTGGATTATGTTCGTGGTTGTGAGGAACGAGATGGTCTCTGCGGACTCTTCACACGTAACGTCTCCATCATCATCATATCTCCATGCTGGCATGGCTGCCCACTACGGAGAAATCTAAATTCTTGAAGTTCCATGACTGTATATATAGGTCAGTCTTGCGTGTATCAGGCGCATGAGGCGCATGTGGATGTTCCCTCATTCTTAGAGCGCTTTGCTCCCAAGCAGGACCAAATAAACTACAGTTACATGCTTTTAACGGAGCCAGCAAGAAACTTGACAACAAGGTTCTATTCCAAATCAAACACCCACTTGCTATTTGGAAGACACCCGGTTCAAGCTAGATGACCCTACAGGTAGTCACAACCTTGGGAGGAGAGTGTTTGATAAAAACTGAGTCTGCAAACCACCTGTCAATTCATGTGGCACTCCTTCTGTCTTTGCTCATCGCCCTGTGCCATACTACAGCGCAACAAGACCTGTGCCATGCGCTCAAAAACCACGCCAGCATTCCCATCTTGGTCCAGGCCACGGTAGACCATGTTTTTCACCTGGGCATGGCGCTTGGCCACAATATCGCGGCTTGGTCATGTTGGTCATGCTGGCTTGGTCATGGTGGCTCACAGCTTGCAAAGATTGACCATATACAAAGCCAACAAAGCAGAGAGTCCAGAATGTCATTCCCGCACATTCAGAGCAAACATATTTTGTTTGCCAAACATGTGGAAAAAACAAGACTTTGATTGCTGCAATATGCTGCAACCAGGTTGAGGAGGCACTTTCGGATGGTGCTCATGTCGACAGCTTCCACAGCCATCAACATTCAACAACCCTCATCCCCCGAGTCCCTCCGCTCTGCTCCAAACGCGAGGAATGCACCGCGATCTCCATGGGCTTCTCCAAACGAGTGAGCTCGAGAACATCCATCCCACCCTGGCGGAACGCCGCTGGGTCGCATATTCCTTTCGGTCAAGAAGATCAGCCTGGAGGTGACGCATCTTTCATGGTAGATAAACTGATATATTGTTATGCACCTGCAGGAAATATATCAAGAATATTAAAGAAATAGCCGTCTCTTTTGAGGGACGGAGACAATCGCTCATCGCGCAAGAACAACACTGCCAACCGGCCCGCCCCACTTGTGTTTGATGGAGCATCTATCTCTCTACCCGACACTTCGACAATTCATTCAACCATCCCATCCTTTGCCTCGCCATTAGCTCTAACTTCTTTCCACGCGTGCAGAAAAAATATATACTACTTTAAAGCACTGACGTATAGACGTATAGCCTACTCTATAGCAATACCTCAAAAATGAAAGCCTTCAAGTTTCGGAAGTGACCATCTGCCCGTCTCCCAAAACAGACTCGTGCTTAGTAGGGCAGGGAATGAGGGAATGAACCGCCCTGTAGATACCTCAAGATCCATTCCCTTATTCCATACCTAAGCACCAGTCTCCAGAATCTACAAAAAAGCGTCTTCACACGTTGCCAACGCCGCAATTACCTCGCCGCCCCGCCTTGTCGACAAACTCTTCGAGGGCCAGGCCCAAGAGCTCAAAGACGGGTGTAGGATGGATGGCATCTTTTTGAGCCTGCCAGCATCCCCATTGGAATGAAGTGAATGGGTCAAAATACCCTATCCCTATCCACGCTTGGTAGAGGAAAGTCCAATCCCTATCCCTATCCGAATCCTGCCATGTTTACAGTATGAGTCTGAATCAGTGCTCTTTTGGATAATTTTTGGAAGATTACACTTTTTGTTGGACACTGAATTTCTGGCTCTCGTGTCAGAAACAATTGCTTGTGTCACAAGTTGCAAGTGCGGTACGTGGAATCCCGCAATTCTTGTTCATTTTCCAGATGGCTTTTGATGGTCAAGCTGAGCAGTATGGGAGACGTTGGCGCAGAATTTGCCCCGGTTCCAACCTTTCAACCCGGCTCACGGCCCAGAAGCACCTGATTGAGGAAGGTCTCCTCCAGGCGATCAAAACCTTCTTGGTAGCGGCCAGCGTGCATTAACGCTTTGGTGAGCCCTTCCTCAGACCCGTTCCGACGGCCTCGATGCGGTCAAAAACAGCGACTTGAACTCCCAGATCCTTTCTGCCCCACCACGTTGCCAGTGATCTCATGTCTTTCTCTGCCGCCTTCAGCTAATTAATTATCTGCTTCAGGGTCCTCGACGATAAACAGGTAACAGGCAACTGCTCATTCCCAGCGTCACACGCGCTGCCATAAAGTGGGCTGTCGGCCCCAATGCTCCGGCCGAAGAGCATTCGCGCAGACGCAAACTGCTCCACGGATTCCTCCCGGAGAGCACCACGGACAAACGCAAGCAGAGTAGCGGAGTAGCAAACAAAATCTCAAAACTTGGTTGGAAACTGCCAGGGTCTACGGTGGAGATGTCACCAATTCTCTACAGACTTGGAGGCATCTTTCATTGGTTTAGAGTTAGCAAATGTGCAATTCATCACCGCCAACTCCTCATATCTGCCCATCAGGTCGAAGCAGCCTCAAGCGGATCCAGGAAGCAACGTGCGCATGCTGGATCCGTGACCGAAATGAGAAAAAACGCTGGAATCCGAGGAATCCACGGTTGCAACCCACCGGTGCCAGCCCTGGAGTCGTTTTCGGTCGTTCCCTTTGGTTTGAGCACCGTTTAGTGTCGAGCCCCGACACGGACTCACGGTGGACACCGGTGTCCGGTGGCGGCCGCGTGGCTTCCCACCGTGTCATGGAGCTTTGCAATGGTCACGTCATCATCCGGCTCCTCGACCTTCCATGCCTGCACAAACGAATTACGCAATTGGCGCCTGGCGCGGTTTTGGGCCGATGGACCTGATGGACAACTACCTGATGGACTGATGTGAAAAATCAGCTCCAACCCTGAGGGACGTTGTTGCTAGACCTCTCAATAAGATTCAATCAGATATATACCCCCACTATGGTTGACCCCAAGAGACAGGCGCGGAGTGTTGACCACTTGGGAAAGGTGTGCACCCCCCCTCCAGAAGGTTGGTGAAATCAGGTTATATCACCATACTATTGGCTTCTCTTGTTCATCCATTTTGGAACTCTCGACGATGATGAATATCTTGGCTGTGCCCTTTTCCAAGCTGGGCCTCTAAAGCCTTCAGCAGCATGGGCAGGGCTTCATCATAGTAGCCCAAATGCTTCTTGGCAATTCCCATGTTCCTGTGGCGTTGGGTGCTTCTCCCCGAAGGCCATCCAACCACAAAGAAAGCTGTCTGTCCAAAGCTTTATGCTTGGCAGCTACGGGGTCAACAACCGCCATATCCGCGCAACAAAGTTACTGTAATGTTGTAGTCACACTGCACTTAGTATTTGCATCATCCACCTACAACTTCATCAGCATTCTCAACACAACCGTCTCACTGCTACTGCGACTGTTAACGCACTTCCGTGCATATTGTGCATATTACGGCATGTTCAGTTTTCTATAGTTTTCTGCCCATGGCACTGTCTTTATTCACAATGCATCTAGCTGCAAGTGATAGTGTGATATACACCAATTCATCATCACTTCCAAAAAGCTTTGCAAGATTGATCACTTACTTCTTCCAGATTCTTCCAGTATCAATGAAAACAAATGCCCTCCCTTTGACATTATATATTTCTTTTGTGATGGGGGTTGGCTGCAACAAATGCATCTGTCGAATCACATCGCATTGTCACCTCGTCATCTTCATCACACCGTGTCGTCAGCCTACTCGGATCATGACAACAGTTATTCACAGCATGATTGACCTTGCTACCTACTAGCGATGGCCTCCAACCTACTATAGTGACTAGTGATGGCCTCCAACATGACACACCAAGATTAGTTCACAAATCAATGAGCAATTGCCTCCACACAACAAACCCATTCAGCTGGGAACACCCGGGCCGTACTTACGCTTGATGGCTTGATGACACAGCACGTGCAAGGCATAGACCAGTTGCAACAACAGGAAAGTCGACGGCGAACCGCCTGACGGCTAACTGCCTGTTGCTTCAGTCCACAACCCGGCGAACACATCACCCGAGCTATGGTGTGTCTTACGCTCCTTCGACCACGCGACCGACTGGACGGTGTGAGCAACCATGCGCCACAGATGTTTGTCGCACCTGACGCAGACGCGCTACCGCATCTCCCAAGACCTTCACACATGAGAAGCATACTCCCAAGGGAGATGTGAAAAAGCGATGCAGGTGAAAATGACAACATATGGCAAGCTTACGCAACATGCATGTCTCACAACTCCCTTGCGCCACCTTACGCTTTCAAGCTGTTGCTTATTCCAAGGTTCCATATGACAAGGCCTTGACTTAGTTCATCTTGGGAGGTTTCTTGGGGTGCTCACCTGGCAACGGAGAACCCCCCTACTTAGTTTACTTGGGTATTCTGGAAATGGTCTTCCAGGTCCTCTTCTATGTTAAGTGTTGGATGGTGTTACTGTAGCATGTTTTCGCATACAAAACAAGTCGAGACAAAGGACCTCCGTTGCCGTGCCATCCTCGCGCGTCCGCCATCCGTCGCTGCGTGCGTGTCGAGGCTCCAAAGGTCGTTCTTATCTGGCTGATCGTGACCAGCGACCTCTTGGGCAGCGATGAAGTACTCCTGAGCCTTCTCATGATCCCGCATCATGTTATAGACAGTGCCAAGGTTATTCCTGAGCTTGGACATCAGGGGGCCAGGATGGATGAAACAAGCCAAGCTAGAGTCAAGGGAATGTCCAAATGCAAATTCGTGTTGAGGAAAGAGAAACTGTGAGAATAATCTCTTCATTCATTAGACCACCCCTTTGAAATTCGAGCATTCCCCCTCTCAGCCTGTGGCAAACCCCCTCTCTGCGAACCTCCGCTGGTTCCCAAAACCCCGCGGTTGAACGGCCTAAGCCTACGGCCGTAAAGCCAGCGATCAACCGCGCAAAAGCCAAGCTGCAGAGTGGCTGGATGTGGAGGTGTGCGCTTTGCCACTTCCTCCAACCTAGGAACACAACCACAGCGAAGAGCTGTAGTAGGGTCGATCCAAGTAGCTTACAGAACTATAGCAGAATATCAAGTACGTATGGAAGTATAAACAGTAGTTCAGTGTATGTGTATAGCCCAGCAGCATCACAGCCGCCTCCGGCATCCTTTGCTGCTTGCACCGCAGTGTGGCACAGTCTTGTAACCATTTCACATCCCACGGCAGTCCCCTTTCCATACCTCAGCATACCACGCCACATGACAGGTCCGAAATATGACAACAAAGCAACTCGCAAGCAGAACACCCAACAAATGCAACTCTGCACCTCAAACAGGGAGTGTTATTGAACACATGTTGCAATGGAAAGCCCTGGAAACGCAACACCAAAGTAGAAGGTTGGAGGCCCGAATCTTCCATGGATTTTGTGCGCAATTGAATCCAATAAAGCTTGTTGACACCTGATTGGCCCCAAAGCAAGAACACGTTAAATTTTTCCGTTAAACAAACACACTGTTTGGGCTCCTCTGCAGGGTGCAGAAAGGCTTTGTAGCCGCATACAAGGCATCGGCTTTGTCCACCGCGTAGTTCTTCAGATAGGCCACTGCCAAGTCCAATGCACCTGCGTGCCCCAAGCTCCAACTAAATAGCAATGGCCTCCAACCTTGAAGCCATGGAACCCTGTAGGCTTTTACAACAAATCTCATGCATCCTCGTGCGTCCTCGACAATTCTTGTGGAGCAGCGCCTGCTAGAACTTTTGGATCTCGAAAGCCTTCTTCGGCGAAAGCCACTCGTCGAGCATATTCAGCTTCGTAGCTCTGCAACACTCGGAGGTTCTCTTGGGGGCCTGACATGTAGTCCTCAGTTAGGTCAAAAACAACTTGAACAAATAAAATAAGACACAAGCGCGAGGAGGAGGAGGGGGAGGAGGAGGAGGAGGAGCACAACTCAGTGGCAGGTTGCAAACCTCTTTGATAGGCAAAGCACTATTCGGAAGCATCCCAAGCCGAAAACATCAAATATATAAAACTTCCTTGAATCCTCAAACCTGGATCCCTTGCAAGCCCTTTACTGTTGAGTAAATGGCTGAAAGCGTCACAAAAGTGCCATGTACTAAACACCTTCGGCCACGAGCTTTTCCTAGTGGCCCTGATCGACCAAATCGACCCACTCCCACCACACTCTCCACAAACCATGACAGATTCCCACCCATTCACAACATGCGTTCCGTTTTCCACGTTGTCCACCGTGCCGAGGGTCATGCTCCGACCAAACCAACTCCGACTTCTCCAGTGTCGCTTCAGGCGGCGGCCCTCGGACCTTTTCAGCTCCCTCAATGGGAGGCATCATGGACTTGAGCACCACCATCAAAGCGTCCACCTGATCTACATTGCCTCAAACACATTTCGGGACCGGAGTCGAGTCACATGGGCTGGAATGCATCTAGGAAAGAGACGATGTCCTTGCAGCATTTGCCATTTGCAAGCTACCAGTAGGATGTTGCAACGAGTCAAACATCAAGTCCCGTGGTTATCCGCTGGAGCTACCTCCTCCTCGGTCGAGCATCCCAATATATACTATGCTTTTAAAACATGGAGACCCATCGAAGTGAAGTTACGATGGTCCATAAGTGTGGTGGAAATGTCCTGCTTTTTTTCTTGCATTTTTTGCTATCGTGGAACATCTTCAAAACCTATCTGTTTCCCATCCTCCCTCGGCAGCCTTTAAGGACATTCACCGCAAGCGCGGCACAGGCTGTTTCCACCGCCTCTGAGTCGATATGCGCACTCTTCGCAAGGGCACGAGGGAACTCCGTATGCACGGGCGAGAGTTCCTGAGACTGGGCGCGTTGTGCAGTACAGAGAAACGTTGGAGGCCATCTCTAGTACGTTGGAGGCCATCAAAGAAGAGGCATCCGATCAGTAGGGCGTATCGCACACACAGGACGCCTCTTCCTCGCGAGAAAAAGAACTTTTGATGGAAAGAGCAAGGGTGTTTTTGGAGCAAAGCTGTCTCAGCTTCTTTTGGCCCAAAGAGCCGCCTTCAATTCCAGGACAAGCCCAAGCCTCCCACAACGTGTGTTCAAAGTTGCCCCCAAAAAAGAACCTGTGAGCCTGTGAGGTTTAAAAACAAAACGTGTTTTACTTCCAGGACTTTGGCAGAACCTGCTGCAGCCAATTCTCTAAAGAACTTGTGGCTCTCAAGGAAGACCGTGGCAGCGCAAAGAGCCATCCCGGGCCCAGCAATGCCACGAGTGCGGCGCTTGGGATGCGTCTCATCTTTTGCGGGGCCAAATGGCTCGATGCCCATCGACGTTTCGATCGATCAAACACAAGCAAACACATGAAGAAACGGGTGAACCCCCAAATTTGGATGTCGTGAGTGGCCTATTTCCAAGTTGGCTCGCAAAACCTATGCGAACCTCGTCCCAGATGGCGGCTTTGTCTTGGCTCTCCTCGGCGGAGAGCACCTCGTACCTGCTAACGCTTGATCTCACATGAAAAGCACCCAGCCGGTGGAGTTACCCAGCAGGGTGAGCTCTGCGGATCTGATTCATTGTCTACCTACACGTATCTACTATCTACCTATCTAAGATCGACCTACGAGTACCGTAACCTACACCTATCTACCGAATACATTGATGTTCATCTATAACTATATCATAAATATTCATAAATCATAAAACTATAAATTGTGTGTCCATGCGCGTCCATATTTGCCGGTTCAAATCTAATTAAGGCTTGATTTTTCCAAGAAGCGCACATGGCTGGTCCCCACCATCAGGACCCAACAAGCAGGTACCAACATCGAAACCAAACGACCGCTGAGATCCGCTGAGCCCTTGACGGCTCAGGATCGTCCTCATCACCCACCGCTAGGCATTCACCTAAAAGACAGAGTCTCAAAGCAGGAGCATCTGCAGTCATTCGTCATCCAAGCAGGAACCGAAAAAAGTCCTAAAGTGGACCACGGCATACCACGGCCACCACACTGCACTGAGGCTCGGACCATCCTGAAGAGAACCAAGTGTATCCCAGTCCTTCAAATACAAGTCTTCGAAAGAAATGTTTCAATCTGCTTCACCCTGGGCCTTGCACCGGAAGAACGAACACCTACAACCAGGATCGAAGCAAAGCAAGTGGGTCTCAAAGAACAGCTGTTTCCTCAAATGGGCAATGGTAAAAGTCCTGTTATCCCCTCTCTTCTGGACTTGTTCATGAATTAAGCCATCCTCAAATCTTTGATTAGCCCATCAAGGACATAATGACCTTAAACAAACAATCGATAGCATAGTGCCTTGGATGAGGCTCAACCAAAGCACAGGTCAGATGCAACGCAGTTAAGTGACTCTTTGCTGATGTTTTCCTTCAGCATCACGGCTCTTTCTTACCACTCCATCGGCCATTCGCAGCCAAACGCGCTGCTTTAGGGTGGGTTTGGGCAAAAGGCACAGTTGTTCTCCAACACGCCGGCCCGTCCATTCTCCTTTGCGGCAACGGTGGATTTCTCCTCCGGGACTTCACCTGGACATCACGGTGAAGGTCGGTCCAGGGGGACTCGATGACGTGAGGGTGTACCATCTCCAAGTTGGGTCTCTCACTAATACTGTAGCGATGGCCTCCAACCTAGAAGCGATGGCCTCCAACTTAATTACTAGCGGTGGCCTCCAACATACTAGCGATGGCCTCGAACCTAGAAGCGATGGCCTCCAGCTTACTATAGCGATGGCCTCCAACCTAAGAGTGATGGCCTCCAACATACTAGCGATGGCCTCCAACCTAGAAGCGATGGCCTCCAACTTA